TTGCTACTTCTGCAAACAACTTCTTACGGGCCCCAGGAAGCTCACTGGTTCAGTACTCTGAACTTGGGGGGGGGGATCGCTTCTTTGCTCTGGTGCCCTATCTGGGGTGAAGAGGCATTTGTTCACATCTCCCCAGGAAGAGTTCCACAATTCCCCAGCCCCTCCCCCACGGTGTCCTCCGCAGCAGTCATCCCAGCTGGCCCACTCAGGCTTCTCTCCTTCCCCCATTCCCTTTTAGTGTTCTTGGAGACAGCTGGCGCTCATAGGCCAGGCTGTCCTTGAACTCCGGATTTTCCTGCCTCTGCCTCTGGAGTGCTGGGATTGCTTACAGGTTGTCTGCCACTTAGTGTTTGTAGCTCCTCCTGGCACATGACCCCTAAGACAGCAGAGATGTAGCCTCTTTGTTCGATGATGTCTCAAATGCCTGTCATGATGCTTAATAAATGTTCACTGGGGGATGAATAAGGATCGAAAGATAGTGAGTGTAGAGGCATGAGATTGAAAAAGACACGAAACCCACAAGAACTAAGATAGATAAAGGCTCTAATCATTATAAAAGGAAAATTTACATTTTTCTGTCTTCTCCGTGGTAAACCTGGATAATCCGCTCTCAACAGCTTTGTAGCACTGACTTGGGGCCATGTATCCTATGGTGATTTGAATGACAATGTCCCCCAGGGGGCTCATATGTTTGAGTGCTTCCTCACAAATTGTGGGTGAACTGTTTGGGAAAGATTGGAAGGTGTGGCCTTGCTTATGGAGGTGTGTAACTAGGACATAAAAGCCTATACTGGGACCAGTCTCCTCTCTCTCCCCCCCTCCCCCTCCCCTGGTATCAGAGTGTAAAGCTCTCAGCTACTGCTCCAGTACCATACCTATCTGATTCCTGCCATGACGACAATGGACTAAACCTCCGCACGTCCTCAGTTAAACACTTTCTTTCATACTAGTTGCCTTGGTCAGGGTGTCTCTTCACAGCAATAGAACAGCCATACCTGTAATCCCAGCACTAGAAAGATAAGGTAGGAGATTTTCAAGTTCGAGGCTAGCCTGAACACATAGAGAGTTCCAGATCAGCTTGAATTACGTAACATGATCCTGTCTCAAAAAAAGGGACTGGAGAGATCATTTATTGTTATGAGAACTTGGTTCCTTTGTTTCTGTTTTTGTTTGTTTGTCCTTGTTTTTGTTGTTGTTGTTTTTGAGACAGGGTTTCTCTGTGTAACAGCCTTAGTGGTCCTGAAACTAGCTCTGCAGACCAGGCTGGCCTCGAACTCACAGAGATGCCTGCCTCTGCCTCCTGAGTGCTGGGGTTAAAAGTTTGCGACACCAACACCCGGCTTGTGTACAGATGCCAGAAGCTAGAGGAAAACTTTCTTGCTGCCCCTTTACTCCTTTGACACAAGGTCTCTTAATGAACCCGGAGCTAGACATTTTGCAGCTGCACTAGCCGTCCGGCTAGCAAACCCCAGAGATTCTCCTCTCCCTGAGCCCTGTCCCCTAGCATCAGGTTACAGGCTCATGCAGCTATGCCACCTTTGTCCATGGACACTGGAGATCCAGACTCGGGTCCTCGTGCCTGTACAGCAAGAACTCTTACCCAACTGAGCCATCTCCCAGGCTCTGAGTGCCTGGGAGCAAGTTCCAGGACAGGTTCCAAAACAGAGAAACCCTACAAAAAAACCAACAACAAAACAAAACCCTGTACACACACACACACACACACACACACACACACACACACACAACCATACATGCACAAACACACAAATTAGAGTATTTGTTGAATGGATGAAAAGAAATAAAAGGAAACAGATTTGAGGAGAGGCATGTAGACAGAAGTTTCTGTCCCACCTGATCCCACAGCCATTTAGTCCCAAATAAACACACAGAGGCTTATACTAATTATGTACTGCTTGGCCGATGGCACAGACTTCCTATTGGCTAGCTTTCTCTTAATTATTAACCCATTTCTATTAATCTGTGTATCTCCACGTGGTCTTGGCTTACTAGTGATGTCCAGGCCTCTTGCTTCCTTGGCAGCCACATGGTGTCTCCTCGACTCTGCCTACTACCTTTCTCTATCCCTGTCCCAATTATTTCCCACCTGGCTAAATCCTGCCTATTCTTTGGCAGAAACAGCTTTATTCACTGTTAGGAGTATGTTTTTTTCCTGCTGGTCTAGTCCCACCACCTTGCCAGCCCCAAATAACACACAGAGACACTGAATTAGATATAAAGCTGTAGGCTAGTTACTAGTTTCTTATTGGCTAGCTCTGTCTTAAATATCAACCCATTTCTATTAATCTAAGTATTTCCACGTGGTCTCATCTTACCAGAGAGAGGCTCCAGCATTCTTTTCTCTCAGTCCTCCATGTTGGATCTCCTTCTTACTACTTCCTCTCTCCTCCTTGTCCCCTAGTCCTGCTTATCTTGCTTTCCTATTGGCCAGCAGTGCTTTATTCATTAACCAATAAGAGAAACATATTTACAGAATGACATCTTCCATCAATTCACCAACCAATAAGAAACATATTCACAGCATACAGAAGGATATGCCCCATCACAGGGGCGTTAAGGCATGGTCTCATGTAGCCCAAGCTGGCCTCAAACTTGCTAAGCAATCCAGGTTGGCTTGGGGTCCAGGTTGATCCTGAATCCATGATTCACCTGCCTCAGCTCCTGAGGGCTGAGACTGTGGATGTACAGTATCATGTGGTAAGCAGACATATTCAAATGCCAATGCCTCTTGACAGGGTACTGATGGAGAGGCACTTTCCTTTCTGACTTGTCTCTCTTGTTCCAGTCTGTGAAAAGCCGACTCCAAAGGCACTAGGAATCTCTATGTTAGCCAAAAACCTTGGGCGTCAGCCCTGTCTAGGGCTCAGGCAAGTATGGATGGCAGTGAGGAGGGGTGTCAGAGTTCCTTACCTTAGGTAAGTGTATTATGAAAGGTTGGACTAGAGATAAAAGAATGTACCTGGACCCAGGAGACCCAGGAGGGGCTAGGACTGGTGTGTGGGGGTGTAGGGAGCTGAATACTACAGCAATCTGAGAAGGATGAACACTCAGTTTGGAGAATAGAAGGGCTGAGCAGATGAACATTTGAAAAACACTCCATTTTTTTTTCTGAGATAAAGTCTCATCCTGTAGCTTTGGCTGGCCTGGGACTTGCTATACTTGAGATGTATTTAAAATGCGAATTCAAACTGGGTATGCTTGTAATCCTGGCTCAAGAAAAGCTGAGGCAGGAGACTTGAGGCCAGTTTTTTAAAAAATAACTTTTTTAAATGCATTTTATATGCACTGGTGTGAAGATGTCAGATCCTCTGGCACTGGAGTTACAGACAGTTGTGAGCCACCGTGTGGGTACTGGGAAATGAACCCTGGCCCTCTGGAAGAGCAGCCAGTGCTCTTAACTGCTGAGCCATCTCTCCAGCCCCGCATAGTGATTTCTAAGCTAACCTGGACTACATAGTGAGACCATCTCGCAAAACCAAAAGAGACTGGGTGGTGGTGGTGGGGGAAGCCGGAGAGATGGCTCAGTGGTTGAGAGTACAGGCTGCTCTTCCAGAAGACCCAGCTCACAGCCATTTGTAATTCCAGTTCTAAGGGGTCTAATTCCCTCTTCTGGCCTCTGTGGACAACAGGCTTGCAAGTGGAGCACAGACATACAGGCAGGCAAAACACACATGCACACAAAGCAAGCCAATATATAGGGAACTGGGTAGACGGCTCAATGGGCAAACTGCTGTGTAAGCATAAGGGCCTGTGTTTAGATCCCTAACACCCATTTAAGGCACCGGTCTATAAACCCCAGGGTTGAGGGTGGGGTGGAGTTAAGTGGATGCCTGGGTCTCACTGACCAGATAGTCAAAGTACTGAATTCCAGGTTCGGTGAGAGACCTTGTCTCAAAAAATGAGGTGGAAAGCGATAGGCAACACCTGATGTTGACCACTGGCTTCCATCCACAGACATGGACACATTCATATATCACAAACAAAAATTTAAAATCAGCAGAGAGTGGTGGTGCCTTAATCCCAGCACTCAGGAGGCATACATATTTGTAAAAAGGTAAAGTCAGTAGGCTTGGCAACTGGAAGACAGTGGAGCAGAATGGAGGACATCAAGAATGATTTTTGAGACCTTAGTCAATGAATCACCGATCTCCTTTTAGCCTGTCTCCCAGACTAAACGTGTAGAAATGGCTACTGCCTTGCTTGGCTCCCACCCCTACCCCAGTTAATTCAGGACTTAGAGCAACCTTCCAAGGTATCCAGTTTTCTGGGGAGCACACCATCCATGGGCTGAAGAGCATAGGTCTTGAAGACTGACATCGGTCATTTCAGACCTGGAGATAACGGATGCTTTGGGGAGAGGGGGTGTGCCGGGCGTGCGGGAGCGTGCGGGGGCGAGGGGGGATCCTGGAAGAGTGGTCACAGCTGAACATTTAAGCCATATCTCCCCAGAAGAAGCTCTTTCTGGAGTCTCTGAACAACAAGGACGATAGCCTTGAGAATTAGGGTTGGGAATAAAGAACGAATGAACACACTAAGATGGAAGACATCCAGGGGCGAGTGCGGGAGTGTGAGCGAGGACCTGTGGGTGACACGCAACACGTTGAAAGCTATACCAGAGTTTGCATTTCTCGTTTATTCCACCTGGGAAGACACAGACTTGCAGGTCGCCCTGGCCTCTATTCAACATTGGGCACAACAACAGAAAAGGCACCTGGAAGCGGGGGGGGGGGGGGGAGAGGTAAGCTGGGAGTGGGGGTAAGCTGGGAGGGGGAGCTGCTTCTAGACAGAAGCTCGGGGTCCCTCGGCCCAAGTCCAGGGAAGCGACGGCTTTGGACAGAACCATTCTCAGAGGATGGAAAGGGACAGGAGCTCTTCACCGTAAACTCGATCCCGCAGAACCAACTGGAAACTTGCTCATCTCTTTCTTTCCTCTTTTCAGTATTTTATTTCATGGTCCATCACCGTTGCTGCGTTCTCTCTCCCTCACGATCCCGAGTCCTCAGCACCACTACATTATCTTCTGTCACCCCTAGCAACACGCGTGGTACAGCCCAGTGGAGCCCGCTCCGGGCACAGGTTATAAAGGCTCGGCTGCGGCAGCCCACTGCGGGAGTCAAGATGCGCCCGAAGGAACAGGTGCAAAGCAGTGCGGGGGACGGGACAGGGTCGGGGGACCCAGCAGCAGGCACCCCCGCGACCGAGCCTGCAGCTAGTCCGGCCCCGGAGTCCTCGGCGGAGCCCAAACCTGCTCCGGCGCAGGGAACCGGGTCCGGACAGCGAGCTCCAGGATCCCGAGTCAAGACAGGAAGCTTTTGTCGGTCCATGATCGTCGGCAATTCGGACGCGCCATGGACCCGCTACGTATTTCAGGGACCTTATGGTCCCCGGGCCACTGGCCTGGGATCTGGAAAGGCCGAGGGGATCTGGAAGACGCCAGCCGCCTACATCGGCAGGAGGCCCGGCGTGTCCGGCCCTGAGCGCGCGGCGTTTATTCGAGAGCTGCAGGAAGGTAAACTGAGTCTATGGGATCCCTCACTGGCTGCTACTAGGGCATCTCGGAGAGGAGGTACTCAGGAGCCCCGCCCCCGCGAGATCGCTGTCCGCGGTGCCTTTTTAGTTTCCCTTTCCCATCTCTTCCTCTTTTTCGGGTTCCACGATTTTTGTGGGTGCGTCAGGTCCAGGGCTTGGGCGCTCCCCGCCCCCTCTTCGCGCCTGTTGCTGTGCAGATCTGCGCACTCTCTGTACCCCCCTCCACACCTCCGTCTACCGCAGTGCCAGGAAAGGGGCGGGGGCCGCCGGAGGGAGTTGCTGGTCGCGTTCTGAGCCTGCGCTAGCCCGTGGGATCAGCCTGCGTGGGTGGGTGGAGGGGGGAGCTTTTGACCACTACTTGGCTGCAGGGGTCTGGGTAGTGTTTTCCTGGTGCAGGGCTGAGGCGGGAGGAGTAGGCTGGGCACTGGGCTTCTGTCCCTCCTCTTCTGGGCGGGGGCAATTTTAGACTCAGGTGCCCGCTTCTGGGTGCTGAAGAAGTCTCTTTGGCCTTCTTGCCACACGCAACAGGTGTAAGATGGGTGATTGCATTTGTTTTTATGACCGAGGAGGCTCTATTGAGCTGGCTTCGATGCAGATTGGGTCAGGCATGAGGAGTCAGTCTGCAGCTGTTATTTCCCCTGAATTTATACCTCTAGGGACCAAGGACCCAGGGGTCCTCGGAGTCCAGTTTCTGAACCAGGAGGATGGTTTTGCTCTTACAGTACTCAGGCTCTTCCTAATGAAGCAGGAGTGTTGAGATCCGGAGCCGTGGAGAGGGTACTAGGGCTGGATGATCTCAGTCTCCTGGCTCCATGACCTTTGAGGGAGGGACACAGTGGCTGTGAGCAGCCTTGGCTCCTTTCCCTGACCCACTCAGGCCTTTCCTCCTGCAGCACTGTGTCCTAACCCGCCTCCCACGAAGAAGATCACCGAAGATGATATCAAGGTGATGCTGTATTTGCTGGAAGAGGTGGGTCCTTCCTTCCTCATCCAGGCCAGCCCTCGTTTTAACTGCCCTGCAGGACTTAGGGATTTTGTCTGTTTTTTATTTGCCTGGGGGCCAGCTTGAGGGCCCCTCTCCTGGAAGACTAGTGGCCAGTGTGGGCTGACCTTATTTTATTTCCCCATGATGGGAAACTGAGTCAGACCCCAGAGTTGGTTAATAGTCTCTGACCTAGTACCAGGTGTTGGAGAAGCTTTCTTGTGGCCTAGCCCCAGTTTCTCCCTCCTGTTTGGGAGGTCCCAGAAATTGGGAACCTATGAATGGGTGGCTCTCCTTTTACAGAAAGAACGGGACCTGAACACAGCTGCTCGCATCGGCCAGTCCCTGGTAAAACAGAACAGTGCTTTGATGGAGGAGAATAACAAGCTGGAAACAATGCTGGGCTCAGCCAGGGAGGAGGTATCTGGGTACCTGAGGGAGAAGGGGAGGGGGTCAGTGTGTTTTCTCCCCGAAACTAGCATCTGTTCTGTACCTTCATCCTCACGTTTCGGTGGCTTCTCTCTCCTCGCCTAGATCTTACATCTCCGGAAGCAAGTGAACCTGCGAGATGACCTCCTTCAGCTCTACTCGGACTCTGATGATGATGAGGAGGATGAAGAGGAGGAAGAAGAGGAAGAGGCTGAAGGGGAGGAACAGGAAGCACAGAGGGATCAAGATCAGCAGCATGATCATCCTTACGGTGCCCCCAAGCCGTATGTGTTCTGCCTTTGTGCCTGGACCGTCCCTTCTCAGAGCCTCAGTTGGCTGATTTGTAGACTGGGGTGGGGAGAGCTGTTGGGACTTGCTGACACTGCCATCCTTATCTAGTATGGGGAAACCTTGGGGACTGGGACCCCTGTCATCCATGCCCCTCCCCATTGCCAGGCCCCCTAAGGTGGAGACACAGCACCGCTGCCCACAGCTGGAAGCTCTGCAGCAGAAGCTCAAGCTCCTGGAGGAAGAGAATGACCACCTGCGAGAGGAGGTGAGGACAGGGAGGAGGCCACGCCCTTTGGCAGGGGACGGTGACAGCCTTGCCCCTTCCTCTTTCCTTTCCTCCAGGCCTCTCACCTTGACAACCTGGAAGATGAGGAGCAGATGCTCATTCTGGAATGCGTGGAGCAGTTCTGTACGTGGCTCAGTGATCCGGGGTGGGGCACTATCCCGAGGGGTGGTGGAAAGAATTCAGGGTTTGGAGACGTGAGATCTGAGCTGAGATCCTGGCTCTGGGACTCTGCAGCTGTGTAAGCGCAGACAAATCCCTTGGCTCCTCTGAATGCCCCTCTTTAGGAGGAGGGTTAATAACCAGGACCTGCTGCTTGTCATCTAAGGCTTTATGACAATTAGGTGAAGCACCATTGCCAAGCATGGTGGTGCACACCTGTAATCCAAGCATGGTGGTGCACACCCTAATCCCAGCACTGGAATTACACACACTGGGAAGGTGGATGGGACAGTGGGGAGGGAGCCAGGAGCTGCCAGAGTCTGGGCATTTAGGACTGGGGGAGTTCACAGCCTAGGACCAACCTGGGCTTTGTCTGTCTCCTGAGGACCTCAAGCCTGCTTGCTGAGATGCAGGCTCAAAAGGGTAGCATTTAGCCTCTGCTATCTCCTCACCTCATCCCTGACCTTCCTTCCCCCTGCACTCCAGGACTCTCAAGTCTCAGTGTCTCTAGCCCCTGACACCTCATGATACACAGTGGGATGTCTCTGCCCATCCAGGTTCTTTTTCCTACAGCCCAGATGAGTTTTCTGAAGCCAGATCTGGTTCCATCTTCCCACTGGTCAAAGGATAATCCCGGTCCTTCTCCCACCTTTGTGATTGGGTCTTCCGCTCACTGCCCCAGCCCCTCTCACGGACCACACTCTTCATCTTCCTTTGTGTGGTGGGGCTCACTTAACCAGTGGTTCCTTCCACAGCCCTTCCCAGGCTTTGCAGCATTGGATTGAGTCAGACGCTCTACCTGTGATACCCCTTTCTCTACTGCTGTTCCCCCCCCCCCCCCTTCACACTGGCTCCATTGTAGCCCATACTATTTGGGATTGTGAGTTCCTTCCCCTAACTGCCTGTCTCCACTGTACTGGAGCTCCGTGTGGGCTGGGTTCAGGTCTTACCAACCATACCCCCCCCCAGTCCCTGCTCTGCGTTGATAAGCCATTTCTGATGAAGACCCGAGCAAAGAGTGCCAAAGCCCCATGGGACCCCTGAGGGGCGGGACAGAGGCCCAGAGCCAGGACTGACCTGTGCTCTTTCTGTAGCTGAAGCCAGCCAGCAGATGGCAGAGCTCTCGGAGGTGCTGGTGCTGAGGCTGGAGGGTTATGAGCGGCAGCAGAAGGAGATCACCCAGCTGCAGGCCGAGATCGCCAAGCTACAACAGCGTTGTCAGTCTGTAAGCTGCACTGTGGAAGTCCCTTTCCTTTATCAAGGCTCCTGGAACCCCCCGAGCCTCCTCTCCCTACCCTGCCCTCCATAGCTCTGGGCTCTGCCAGGCCCAAAGGCCTTCCGGTGATAACTAGAGAGCCATTCAACCTGCCCAGTCATGTCCCTAACCGAGCTCTCACAGGATCTCTCTCCCAGGTACCGGGCTGCGTGACCCCCACTTCATGACTCCCATTCCATGTGACTTCCTCCTAAAAGGACCGTCCAAAGCTCCCTGATGTCAGAAGACTGTTGGGGCTGGGAGTACAGGAGTGGGAGGCCTTGGGGGTGGGGGTCTCACGTGTCCTGCTTCCTTCCAGTATGGAGCCCAGACAGAGAAACTGCAGCAGCAGCTGGCTTCGGAGAAGGGAGTCCACTCAGAGGTGAGGTCCCATGTGTCCCTGACCCAGATCTGGGATGCAGGCCCCTGGGGACTGCTGGCTCTCCACAAAAGACAAACAACATGCAGGCTCCCACCCTGACCCGCTTATGGCTCAGCAGGTAGCAGTTCATTTGAGGCCTGAATGGAATGGGTCTTGTCCAGGGTCACCCTGAATCTCACTCACTGTTTGGATGTAGAGCAGGGGCCCTTCCCTCTGCCTAATGTGAAAGCAGGCAGAGCTCCTAACTGGGTACCCCTGGATCCTAGCAGAGCTTTCGAGCAGGCTCCCACACGCAGGATTATGGGAGCAGGCTTCGTGAGCGCCATGAGGATGGAAAGAACCATCGCCATCGCTCCTCTATGCCTACTGGTTCTGTCACCCACTACGGATACAGCGTGCCTCTGGTGAGGATGCCCCCTTTGATGTTGGGGTACCCTGTGTTTCAGCCCTGCTGGCTGGTTTCTGCCCTCAGATTTTTTTTTTCTGTGAGTGTGGGAGTGGAATGCCTCTCCTCTGTTGTAGGATGCACTTCCGAGTTTCCCAGAGACGCTAGCTGAGGAGCTCCGAACATCCCTAAGGAAGATCATCACTGACCCTGCGTATTTCATGGAGAGGTGCGTGGTGGCTGGGATCAAGGCTTGGTTCAGCTATGCATACTTTATTTTACCCAGTGGCAACTAGCTTCTCTGAGTGGGGCATGATTGACCCTCATGTCCCGACCTCAGTTGCTTCCCCTGGTGACCACCCTCCCCCATTCACACTGCCTAATCCCTTCCTCTCCTCTATGGACTGTGTGTCTTTTGTTTTTGTCTTTACAAGACAGGGTTTCTTCTCTGTGTAGCCCTGACTGTCCTGGAACTCACTCTGTAGACCAGGCTGGCCTTGAACTTTGAGACCGGCCTGCCTTTACCTTCCCAGTGCTGGGATTTAGTGTGTCACTATGCCCGGCTTCCTGTGACTTTTCAACATGTTTGTGCCCCACAGACTTTGCAGTGTGAGCTTCCTTAGTACACTGCAGGTCCTGTTTTCTGTTTGGGACTTAGGGGATGGCTGTGGGGAGACATCAAGCCTGGGGTACCCTGGCTAAGGGCTCCGCATCATCTCATTTCACATTGCAGCAGCCAGACAACAGCTTGTTGCTGGTTCTGTGACTGGAAAACTCTGGGAAGGTGTGTTTTGGGGGTGTTGCTCACCGGAAAGTTGTTTTGGGAATGGGCTGTTCCCTTTTTGTTCAGATGGACGACTCCTAGGTGGCTGTTACACTTAAGGCTACTCTATGTAAAGACCAAAGCTTTTCTTTCCTTCACCTGACCATGAACTGACTGTGAATGGCCTAGCCGTTGGGAACATCTGGGACTCAGTCCCAGTTTGGCTTCTTTGTGTCACCTGACCCGTGTGAGCCTGACCACAGTGGATTCATTTCTATGACAACTGGCTCTGGGATGAAGTATCCCAGTTGCTCATGTTTAGACAGGAGGGTGGGGAGTGGACGGGAGGATGGAACCTGTTTGATACTGACCCTCCTCCGTCCTGCAAAGGGGCATGGGCTTACGGTATTAGGCACCCTGAAGATGATTCTCTTTTCCTTCACTTCTGTCTGGGACAGAGCTAGGGAGGACCATGAGAGTCTGTAGACTAAGGCAGGACAAGAGAACTCACAGAGAGCTGAGGGGTAGGGATGCGGTTGGGATGTCCTCCTCAGAAGTCCCTGGTGGGAGAGTCCTGGGGAGTGGAGTTAAGTGCCGGGGAACTGCAGTGTGGGTGACCCCACCGTGTCCCTGCCTAGGTGTGACATCCACTGCAAGGAGGAGCAGCGAGAGCAGGGGCAGGGGGCGGTGCCACCACCCCCTCAGCCACAAGATCTCAAGCCACCCGAAGATTTTGAAACTCCAGAGGAGCTGGTGCCGGAGGAGGAGCTGGGGGCCATAGAAGAGGTGGGAACCGCTGAGGAAGGGCTGGCAGAAGAGGCAGAGCAGGCGTCTGAGGAGACCGAGGCCTGGGAGGAGGTAGAACCGGAGCTGGATGAAACCACAAGGATGAATGTGGTGGCCTCTGCCCTGGAGGCCAGTGGCCTGGGCCCTTCCCACCTGGACATGAAGTATGTCCTCCAGCAGCTGTCCAGCTGGCAGGATGCCCATTCTAAGCGGCAGCAGAAGCAGAAGGCAGTCCCGAAAGGTGAGTGCTCCCGCAGAGGACACCCTCCTGCCAGTGGGACCAGCTTCCGGCCATCAACCTTGTGAGAGGTGAGGGTACATGAGCCCCCCAAATGCTCATTTACCTCATCTTGGTCCCGCTCAGTGTGCTGATTTGCATGGACTTTGCATACTATTTACACAGGCACCTCCAGTCCCCCTTGGCTAGAACCGTACCTCAGTGCTCATCTAGACGGAGTTTGTGTACAAGAGTCAGCTGCTGCCCATCTACCTTCTTCTTGGGGGCCCGCACTGGGGATCAGGGCTGGACTATATGCCCCCTTCGTACCTCAACTCCCTGTCTCTATCCACCCTTCTCCTGTCCTTCATCCCTAATTCCTCCACTCCCAAAACTCCCCAGCCCTGCAGCAAACAATGCGGGAGGGGGGATCTTGGATCAGCAGCCCAGGGTGCTGACCCAGGACTCTTAAAGGCTGGAGGAGGACAGGGCCACTCACTCTCATAGTGCCTGGAAGAAAGAGGGGCCTTCTGGGGCCACCTAGGCCTGGGACAAAAGCCTCTCTGCCAGCAGGGGCCACAGTCAGACCAGTCCCCCACCCCACCCGGTGAGTTGAGGGGCTCCTGCAGGGTGATAGGGTGGGTCAGGGGCTCCTTTGCTTATCTAGAAATCCTGGATTTTGAGAGTTGCATGCTCTGAGGGCAGGCCTTTTAGGCCCTGCCTATGAGGAGCTGTCTGCGAGTTCAGATGATTTGGCCCTGGATCTTTCTTTTCCTTGTGATGGTTCCTCCTGCCCTCACACCCCTGTGGGTAGGTAAATACTGTCGTGCACCATTTATTAGAAGAGGGACCCAAAGTTCAGAGAGCTGAGCTGGCTTGTCCAAGGTCACACAGCTGGGAGCAGACCTGAGCCGGTGCCTGTCTGTGAGTAGTGAAACCCTGGTCTGGTCTCCCTGCTACGCACAGCTCCTGCGTTCCACCTGAAGTTTGTAATGTGTTGGCGGCCGCCTTTCATGTCTGGCCCGCCCGCTGTCACACTCTGATTTTTTTTTTTTTTTTTTGGCACCAGTGGGGGTTGTAAATGGAGTCAGCACTTCTGTGACTGATGACGGGAAACCTGAATAACTGTGGTGGTTTTTGGTCCCCTCCTGACACACGGCCCACTGGGTCTGAGGTGGATCGGGCTCCTGGTTCACATCCACCCGCTTCTCTTCCAGGCTGTGCTGTTTCCCAGCAGCCTGCAGGGGCCCCACAGTCAGCTTGAGACCCCTCCTTCTGCTGCCTGGCCAAGTCCCACCCTTCCTTCCCTTCCTCTGAAACAGGACCTCACGCCTGCCTGCCTGTCAGCAGGCCTTTCTCGGTCCTAATAGGCCTAGGCCCAAGCTTCCACCCTTGTCTAGGACAGTCGGAAAGAACCCCAGTTCCTCATTCTGAGACTGGTACCAAAGCTGTGGCTACTGGGACCCTGGGGGCGGAAGCAACCTGTGGGCGGACTGGCTGGCTACCAGACCCAGCTGTGAGATGGGTTACGAGTGGCCGGGGTGGGGGCCCAGGTCTCTAGGGTAGGCAGTTATTGGGAGGACCCTCTTTACCCCTCGAGCCACTCACATAAAGGGACCTCCCCAGTCCTGGTTGGCTGTTGGAACCTGGCTCTTTTTGCTGTCCACTGTCCTTCCCCTATTCCTATCACCGTGTGTACCGTGAAGTGTATCTGAGTGGGGGTGGCGGAGGGGTCCCTCTGCCCAGTGGCGTGTCCGTCTCCTGTGGCCTGTGAGTTTCCCTCTAGAGCTCTGCCCTTTCCCACATCTTTGCTCATACATAGCCGTGGCCTCGGTGCCTGTCCTGTTCCCACAGTGCTTCACAGTCTTGTAGTTGTCAGCCTTTGTATCGATGTATGTGCCAACGTGGAAATAAAGAGCTTGTGAGTTACCTGACCTGTCTCAGTCGGTGTTTCTTAGGAAGTGTGTGTGTGTGTGTGTGTCTGTGTGTGTGTCTGTGTGTGTGTGTGTACAGTGGAGAGAAGATGGGTAAATACTGAATGACATACCAAGGACTCTTATTAAATATAAGTGCATATGACCCACTGCTGTGTGAGGGCAGATTAAGGAAGTCCACCAATGCCTGAATAAAAGAATGACGAATATTTATTTGGGGAACACTCACACAGTGGAGGTAAAGAGCCACCAGTGGTCTTCTGTCCCTAAGGCACAGGATGCTGTGATACAGGATGCTGCCATCAGGTCTTAGACTACCACCCAAGAGAAGAGAGAGAGATTTCCTTTTCCTTATAAGGATCATGTCTTCGAACTGAAGCCACACCCTACGACCGGTACCCTAAAACTTGTGGGAGCAATGTCAGGTGATGTTCCCTGCACTTGTCAGTGGTGAGATGGGGGCCCCGACAGTTTCAGTGATCCAGGCGTCTAATAGCCAGCTATAGCTGGGTTTGAACCCAGGTCTTTGAAGCTGGCCAGCTCTCTTTCCTGACCCTGACATCCCTGGGATTGGGTCCCTGTGCTCTGGTTAAATGGATGAAATGGGAGCAGAGTTGCTGTCTGGCTTAGATCAAACCCCTAACCCTGGAACAGGAATGCATAGCTCATCTCGGAGACACCTCAAGAAATGTCTTACGGAGAGGGGAAGTAACAGGAAGCTAACGTGGAGACGTTTGAGACCCAAGTGGTCTCTCAACTTAGGAGACTTTGGGGGGGGGATTCTTCATATCCAAACAATAATAACCCACTCATGATTTCAAAAAGGCTCCTATCAGTTAGTTGATATGTTCAGTCTATTTCTAAGAACCCCCCAAATCACCATTAATCCCAGCACTCAGGAGGCAGAGGCAGGCAGATCTCTGAGTTTGAGGCCAGCCTGGTCTACAGAGATTTCCAGGACAGATTCTACCTCCAAAAAAATGAAAGAAAAAAAAAGACCTCCCCCAAATCTTTTAACAGTTAACAATACTCAAAAGTTCATGACAGACATGGTGGTGCACACCTTTAATCCCATTACTCTGGAGGAAGAGGCAAGCAGATCTTGGAGTTCGAGGCCAGCTTGGTCTACAGAGTGAGTTCCAGGATGGCCAAGATTACACATACAGTGAAACCCTGTCTTGAAAAAACCAAAGTCCAAATTCAAATTGTCTTAGCCTATGAGAGTCAAGATAATTCTTAGCTATAAATCCTATAGGAAGGAAAGTTATATATTTACAATTTATAGTGCTACAGGGTAAATATCTAGTGTTACCTTTTCCCCTTCTTTTTGAAACTGGTTAGCCTCAAACCTACAAAGATTCAATTTTCTCTGCCTCTCTCAGGCACCTGTAATTTTAGCATGGGGAGGCAGAAACAGGTGAATCAGGAGTTCAAGACCAATTTGGGCTCACTGCAAGACTATTTCCAACAAAACAACCAAACAAGGAAAGTAGAGGCTAGAGAGATGGCTCGGTGGGTAAGAGTGCTTGGTATGGGCTGGACGTTAGAGTGCAAGTCTTTAATCCCAGCACATGGGAGGCAGAGGCAGGCAGATCTCTGAGTTTGAGGCCAGCCTGGACTACGGAGCTAGTTACAGGATAGGCTCCAAAGCAATACAGGAAAACCCTGCCTCAAAACAAAACAAAACAAAACAGTGCTTCCTATGCAAGCCTGAGACTCTGAATCCCCAGCACCATAGAGAGTGGAAACAGGAGGCTCACTGGGGCTTTTTGGCTAGTTCAAGGCTTAGTCAGAGGTCAGGTCTTGTAGGCTTAAAGCTGAGGTTATAAGGTGGGATGCCCAATATTCTCCTCTGGCCTCTGATCATCTGTACATGTGTCTATACCTGCATACACACACACACACACACACACACACACACACACACACACACACACACATAAAGAGCAAGACAACCAGATTAATTCACACTGTGGCATATATATATGCACGCGACCAGAAACATATGGTGGTGAACATCTTTAACCCCACCACATGGAAGGCAGAGAGACAGGTGGGTCTCTGGGAGGTGGAGGTCAGCCTGTTCTGCATAGCAAGTCCTAAGCCAGCCAGAGCTAAACAGTGAGGCCTTGTCTCAAAAACCAAACCAAACAAAAAAACAGCCAAAAGATAAATGGTATAGAATGCTATAAGCCGTGGCTATTCCTCTAATGAACCCGACTGTGCATTCTCCTCCCCGGGAACCCTCTGGCTGGTTAACATTGCCTTCCTGGTGGCCTGACCTAGATCTGCACTCTTAAACCTTGGTCACGCTGCCTATGTCAGGCCAGTCTGTTTGAATTTCCTACTTATGGTTATGAGACTAGAAGCACCAAGAGCACCCCCACCCCCACCAAACAGGCCCCTGAATCCCAGACATGTTCCTTCTTGTCCCTGACATGAGGTTTTCCTTCGTGGAAAGCAGGGACAGTAACCCCTGATGGTCATTTACTTTGTTCGTTGGCCTGAAAATAGGAAGACCCAAACATGGCCAAGAAGTAGCTGTAACCATATTTTTTTTTTTTTTTTTTTTTTTTTTTTTTTGTGGTGCTGGAGATTGGGCTCAGGGCCTCACACATGCTTAGGAAGTGCTCTGCCATGGAGCTACACCCCTAGTCCTGTAATTTTATATTTTTTTAAAGCTTTTTTTTTTTTTTTTTTTTTTTTTTTGAGACTGAATCTCTGGTAGGCTCAACTCCATATTCAGTCAAGTATGACCTTCAACCTGGTCCTCCTGCCTCTCTTCCCAGTGCTGGGATTTTATGTGCATACCACGCTGCCCAGTTTATAGAGTAGTGGGGACTGACATCAGGCCTTTGTGCATGTTAGGTAAGCACTCTACCAACTGAGCTACATTGCCCTGCTCCAGATACTTTTTCCTAAGATGTGACACAAATGTCTATTCATTACAGACAAAGAACAAAGTGACACTATCACTGAAGTTCAATTTGGTGAACCCATGAGTTTATTGGAGTTACTTACAGGAGCGTGGGTGAGGGACTGCTTACAGGAGCAGGCATGACTCAAGAGCAGTTGCATCACCGAAAACCCATCCAAATACAATGACTCATGAGAACCGGAACTCTGAAATTCACTGGGCAACTTGGAGGCAGCTCAACAGGTCGGAGCTACCTTGCAGCTTTAGCTGGTCTGAGTCTCCTTATAGCTTCTTGCTGATTATAAAACCTTGGGAGGGAGGAGTCTTGTATATCTGTTCAGTTTCAGGAACTTCCTGACACTTCTCAGTTGTTTACTTCCTGAGTCT